GCCCGTGAAGCACGTCCCGTGATGTCCTTGGTCCTTGATGCCGTCCTTGGTTCTTGCAGGTGTGGTACGCGGCGTCCTACGCTGAGTTTGTGAACCAGAAAATTCACGACATTTCTGAGGAAGAGAGGAAAGGTGCTGCGACTTTTTAATACTTTGTATTTTATGTATTGGTTCTAAATTGTGTGTATTACGTCTTGATGCAGTCTCTAGTCTATCTCTGTGTACTTAAGATACTCCAGTAGGTTTTTCAGACCTACACATCCCTGCCTAATTCTAGGGTCAAATGACAATGACGTATTTACATTTCTCTCATGGAGAGCTGGAAAGTAGTATTTAATATAATGAAAACCTCCAAATACTAAATTAGGACCTAGATCAGAGGATGATCCCTGTCTAGACTGAATCATCTCTGAGGACACAGCAGGGCAGACATTGACTTCGTTTTCAAAGTAAATGTCACAGAAGTACAATCTATGCACAGAAAAGTGCACCCATCACAAGTAACAGCCCAGTGAACCTTCACAGCATGGGCACACCTGGGTAGCCCACCCAGCTCCAGATCCATAGCATGGCCGCAGCCCCAGGAGTCCCCCACACCTTCCTCCGACTGCTCCTCACTCCCCAAGTATAACTAATCTCCTGGCTTCCAACACCACAGGTAGGATATGCATGTTACTGACCCCTGTACAAATGGAATTATATGACACATACACTTCTGGTGTCTGGGAATCTTTTGTTCGTTTGATTCTTCCATGCTGTTGTGTGTGACTGTAATTTGTTCATTCTCATTGCCGTTTGGTGTTCTAGTGCATGAGTGTACCACAATCCATTTATCTATTTTACTGTAGAAATTTGGGTTGCACAATGCAGTTCTGACACTGACTGCCTGGAGTTAGGTTGCATTTCATGGGCCAAGGGCAGAGTCCCCTGCAAGATTCTCCCCACTTCAGACACCAGCCTCAAGCTGGTCCTGTGCCCCCGGCACTTCTGACCAACTAGCTATAATTTAGGGAGTTCCCCACCACCCCCTTCGGTGTGATAATTCACTGGAATGACTCACAGAACTCAGAGAAGTTCCACACTTATGACCATCTTATAAAGGACAGGTATTAGGACCAGCAAATCACTTAGGGCAAGGTTTGAGAGGGCCCCAAACGTGAAGCTCCCCTGCCCTCAGGCTGAGTCACACCCCTGAAGCATTGATGTGTGCCTACCAACCAGGGAGGCTCCCCTGAGCTCCTGTGTCCGAAGCTTTTATCCAGCTTATCTTCACACAGGCGTGGTTGATTGGATCACTGGCCGGTGACTGAGTTTGCTCTCCACCCCCGCTCCCCTCCCTGCAGACACCACCTGGCGCAAAGCCCCAGCCCTGTCATCAGACAGGTGATCTTTCTGGCACAGCCAGCCCGTCCTGAGTTGTCTCGTTGGCATGAACTTGGATGTGGTCACTGATCACCAGATCACCAGGAGTAACAAAAGACACACCTATCACTTGGGAAATCCCAAAGATTTAGAGGAGGCTCCCCGCTCCCGTGCTAGGACGAAAGTCAGCAAAATTCTTTTTTTTTTTCCTCTTGATGGGTAACTTTATTGAATCAAAAGCCAAATGAGAAACCATTGTCGCTCTTATAAGCAGCCCTACAAATTGCCAAAGCTATAACCATCAAGAGAATCTCTAATTTTTTTTTTCATTTTTTGAAAATATGACAGCATCCCTACCTACGTAGAATCTTTATCCACTCTTAAAATTCTTTATTATGCAACAAGTCGTTTGCAGTTTGGGGATATTTTGAGGGTACCACTGTGAACATTCTTACATGTCTTTAGCGAATTTGTGTGCGCATTTATATTGGGTGTACACGTGGGAGTGGAACCTGCTGGTCATAGGGTTTGCATATAATCAGTCTGAATAGGTACTTCTGAACATTTCCTGAAAGTAATTATACTGGGCATTAATTTTTGAGTTATTTGTGATAAAAGCTACCCTCTGATTATGAAACTTAGATCTGAATCACTAGGTTCTTTGAATACAGGTTTTCAGTGTAGCACTTTGTCTTTCGTGTGTGTGTGTGTGTGTGTGTGTGTGTGTTGGGGTGGGAGAGAGGGTACAGAAGGGTGTTTGTTCCCTTGATGTCTTATGTGAATATATCAGAAAGGAGGATCCTAAAAACTGCTGTCTGTCAAACTCTAGCCTTTGAGTTTTTAACGAAGCAGCAATGCGAACAGCGGACTTCGGGTGTTTGTGAGCACGGGGCTGTGTGAGATGAGTGTGGGGGAGACCGGGCTTTGGAGCTTCATTGGTGCTTCATTGGTCACCAGCCTTCATGGTTCCTCCCCTGTGATGCAGTTCTTCGAGATCAGGAGAAGAACTGGCCCTGCTACGAGTGTAACCGCCGCTTTATCAGCTCGGAGCAGCTGCAGCAGCATCTCAACTCTCACGACGAGAAACTGGACGTGTTTAGCAGGTACGACGAGCGGGGAGGGGTCACAAACCCCGTCTTTAAAGGGCCGCTGCCATTTCCGGATTG